TGCACATGCATTTGAATATAAATTTCTGAGATTTTAAATCTGTTATTTTACCTTAATTTTAATTAAAAAATATTTTAAAACCTGCTGATTACCTATAGTATAATTAAATTTCAATATAATGCATGGCAACTGTTGGTAGTTTTGAAGTTTATATATTTTCTTGGCAAACTTCAGTTTTTGACATTTTTGACGGGTTTTTGACGGTTTAAACCAGTATTATACCCTTGTCATGTCAAAAACCACTTTTTGACGTCAAAAACCCAACCCTGGACATGACGGTAAAAACCATGGTAATAACCGGTAAAAACCGTCATGTGTCAAAAACTTGCCAACCCTGATATATATACACAGTTATTTCAATTTTTCTACATCAAAACATGACCTGGATAAAATTTATATGCTACATAAACACATTTTGATTGGTTGATCATGCTTGACCTATGATCAACCTAAAACTTACACCAATGGTATTTTAAAATAGAATTAATTGTTAGTTTATAATTTAAAATTACTAGTTTATAATTGTAGTTACGAGTTAAAGACATGGAACAAGACAGATCAAGATATGGAAATATCCACTCGATTATTATGGAATCAAATTCTGCCTAACGAAATTATATTTTCTGTACAAAATAAATAAATATGCCATATATAATATCACACTACAAAAGGAATTGGGAGAAAACCAAAGCTTAAATAGTAATACAAATATGTAAAATAAATGCTTTATTCAAAAAATGGGGATATTTTCGTATCTTGACCTGACGCGCCAACAACAACCGCCAAGGTGCTAAATTGATTTTAAATGCACAATTTAAAGAAAAAAACTCTTAGATGTTTGCCCAGGGGTAGGTACAAGTTATACCTTTTGAGTTGATCCCTTTCTGTGATTCTTTTTTTTTTAGTTTCTTGCAGGCCGCTTCCCGGAAGTTGCTTAGATTTGGCGATTATTTTGCCACAGATCACGTGTCACAGAAATTTCCCCAAAAAAATTGCGAGGAAAGCCATAAATAGCAATATTGAAAGTGAATTTTAAAATAAATATGTTTTTTACAGATTAGACAAGATATTTATAAAAACATCATATTAAAATGTAAAGTACTTCTCAATTTCGCCGGCGCAAGTAAATTTAGTTTTTTTTTAATTATTTCCTTAGTTATATTTAAAAATAGGACTCACAGAAATCTTTTTTTTTTCTAAAAAAAAAGAATCTTAAGAACTCTAAAAGAACAAACTAACTTTTCATTGACAACTTTATTACTTGCATTGGCAAAATGGAAAAGTGTACCAAATTAAATTTAATTATAGCACTATTATATAACTTTCTGAATTTAGAAATGGAAAAAGATAGAAAAATGAAGTTATTTCTGAAATCTGAATGTTTCAATTAGTTAAAAGTCTGAAAATATCATTGTTATTTAGTTCATACTTGTCAATTTGCAATTTTATAACAAAACTTTTACAAATACAAAAGCACAATAATCTAACATACCTTAAACAAGGCTAAATAGTTACGCGACCAATCAGGAGATTTTTTATGCTTAAATAGAATCGAAAAAATCTGCTCCTGTCGATCAATCCATTTAATTACAAGTCGGCATGTTCTGTTTGCCAAGCATCTTCTGAGGCAATTTACTGTTTTACGATCCTATTTAACATAAGAACAATAGATATTACTTATTACAATAATTTGACATATAATCAATAACTGAGAACAACAGTATACAATATTGCTGTATGTCTTAAAAACCAATCTGAACCCTCTCAAAAAGCTAATATTCTTAGATTAATAAATTCTAATAGATTCACTTTGTGCCAAACTTTAGACAGAGATAAAAACTTGCATTATGATGTGAACAAATTTCTTAAGGATAGTAATAAAAAAAAATTCATGTTCTAAAAGTTCATGTTTCAATGTTTGGTTCTAGATTGAAAAAAAAAATTTTTTAAAATGACCTACCATTTCCAACACTACTGATAAATTCTATGGACATATAAATAAATGCTTCATTGCTCCATTTATGTATTTGAGATGCATTTAAAATGATTGCAAAACTGAATTAAATTCTGTAAGCTGTTGTCTAATTCTTAACCACTTCATAAAATATTTTGCTGAAAATTGAGTTGCCATACCTGAATGAACTTTCTACATGATATAAAATTATGATTTTTATGATATAAAACAAAACTTAAACAAAAAACATAGTTGTTTTTTAAAATAGCCTTGTCATTCATAATGGGTACATTTGTTTTTGCATATAATTATATAATTCAGGATCATTTTTATAAACGCTAAATTTAATTCATATATCTGTCTGAATAACTTTTGATTTACTGGTCAGATTTTCACATTCTAGGACTCAATCTTTATGGCTCGAGAAGGTGATTTCAAAAAACGTACTGTCTCTGAATAAACAACTTTTTTTTTACGGATTTGGAATTCTTATCCCCAAAATGTAAGGGGTAGCTGCAATTTGGGAAATATGGTTCCTATAGTTTGGTCAGGAGAGCGCTCCAAGGTTAGGGCCCCTTTGTTAATTTAACTTTTGCGTATTTCACTATGTCCCGAGAACTTTTTAAATGAATTAAAAAATTTCAATAGACAATTCTTACTCTTTTTAACAGGTTTTTGAAATCTCTTGTCAAAAACCAATTTTTGACACCAAAAACCAACCCTGATTTTTCCCAAGATAAGAAAGATATGAAAAGTGTATACTGAATCAGAAAGAGTTTTTGTTTCTTTGGTCCATGAAGACAGAAATTATAATGTAGTTTCTAAACAAAAACTGAAGAGTTAATCAACTTAAATTTTTATATTTTCGTTATGCGTAATTTGTTACACCCAGCTATCTCATCAGCAGAGAATACGATATAACTGTGGCTTAACAGAATAAAAGCAAAATCTAGTTAAATAATACAATATTCTGCAACAGTTCTGAGGAAAAATTGCTTAAAAGACACTTAAATTTTGTTTTCAATAAATTAGATAGACAAAAAACGAGATTAATCTATGACGAAAATATATTGAGACTTTTTATAAACAAATGCCTTTTTTATATTACATGCATTAAATGTACTATATTACCTCCAGTGTTTTCACTACAGCGCGTGAACGCGAGAATCTCGCATATTTTTTTCTTTTCCCGCATTAAAAAATGATTAACGCGAGAAGTTCGCGCACTGAATTTATCAATTTTAAAATGCACGAATCTCTCAAATTTTGGAAAAAATTAATGAATTACCAAACTCCCTCATCGACAATTTAGAGCACTTTGTAAAAGTTTAAGTCTGTGAAAACTAATCTGGAAGACCTGACAAAGAGTATGAACATGGAAATAACTTCAACGAACTTCACTATTCCATAACAGAAATAAGTGAAGAACCTATGCTGGCATATGTAGAGGACAGGAAAGTGTGTGCACAATGCTACAAATTTAATTAGTGATTCCGAATAGTTCAGCATCTGTTGCAAGGTTATTTAGCCCCCAAACCGAATTAAAACAAAATATCGTAACAGATCGATTGGTAAGCATTTGAGCAAACCTAATGAGAAAAGCTAATGAAGAAGTAGATACAGAACATTTTCCATATGATAATGCAGCAAAAATATTCAATGTTCAATGGTTTAGAAATCAGAAGATGTTAAAAATTTATTGTAACTAAACAAATATTTTTTTTAAAAGTCTATTCGGGTTTTTTTAATTTTTAGAAATCTCACTTAACTTTTTGAAATCTCACCCTGTTTTTGAGAAAGGGTGAGAAATTCTCTCCCATTTTTTTTTCTGTAATGAAAACACTGACCTCTGAATTAGATGTTTTTAAATAATTAGATACCATTCTCATAAATCAATATTTGATGATTAACTACTGTTAAAATTTTCGTATGTCTTTTTTGTTTCTGATGATTTAGTTATTAAACTAAGTAAGGAAAATGTATTGTTAATGTACTGAAAATATCATGTTTCTTTGAGTGTTTTATATACTTATATTCTTCTTTGTTTAACATTGTAGCATGAAAACATAGTACCTCATTTAGAATAGTACCTTAAGATAACAGAATATCTACTGAAAAACATTAAAACTTAAAATAAATTTTTCGTACCAGACTTTTTCTCCTTATTCGAACCATTTTCTGAAAAAGGAAAATAAGATATATATGTGAACATTATTTAATAGTTATGCAAAACAAGTTTTACAAATAGTAAAGCAGCAATCAAGTTTCTTTAAGACATTTCATTCCATAACTTAGGAATTTTTAATTAGTTATAAATTTAAATATTAAAATCATAAAGTTTTAAGAATATGTCCTCAAACAATTTAAAGAACTTAAGAAAACAAAAACTACTATGAAACCATTACCAACTTAAATGTTTTTAAACAATTTGATGAACAATAAAAAAAATATGTAATGAAACTTTTAACAACTTCCCAAACAATAATATTGAGAGAGAAATTAATTCTGAATAAATTATTAGTTTAAAAATACATGAACATTAATTATTTTCAATTTGAATTGAATAATTCAGCTTTTTGTGTTTAAAAAGAATATCTTTTAATTAAGTATTAAAATTAGAAGTCATATATATAATTTACGCATATTATAAAGAAATAAAATTTTAATCTTTCTTTTTTTCAATTCATAATAAATAAACAAGATATACTTTCTTTTTTTTCAATTCATGATAAATAAACAAGATATACTTTCTTTTTTTCAATTCATGATAAATAAACAAGATATAGAATTTCCGGAAAGCTCGTTACCGGTTTCGATGAATGTTTAATACAATATGTATCCGTTTGAAGCTAAATCAAAGAGTGGGAATCCAGACAAATAAATAATTGTTCAAAGAAAGGAGAGGGACTTGGTGCAACGTAGACAAAAGCAAAAAATGAGTATAGAGCACAAATTAAGTACAGAAATGGATATGCTCTAGTTTCGGCTCTATAAACCAGTACCTTCCTCAATATCTATACACCATAATGATAAATATTTTAAAAAGAGTAACAAATAGGTAGCTTAAAGGCATTAAGTAATCAATTTCGTTGTTTATATACTAAGGTTCTCATTTACAGAACCGAAACTATAGTATACCCATTTCTGTACTTTAATTGTGCTTTAATTACATTATTTTTTTCTTTCATCTATTGTTTTCTTAGTTGTTTAAATTTTCTTAGTTGTTTAAATTACCAATTACCAACTAAAGTAAACTAAAGCCTCCTTCATTGCCATAATTAATTATACAAAATTACTATTTTCATTATTTCCTCAATCACATATTCAGAAAACTTCCAGCTTTAAACATTTTCACTCCAAAATTAAACATTTTCAAGTATCAAATAATGCAGAAAAAAATCAACTTAAGTCACATCATGAGTACAATTCCTACCCGTCAATTCCACTCTTTAATTTAGCTTCAAACGAATGTTACTCTGTCAACCAACAACTTGCCAAATGACTTTCAGAATGTTTATAAACTCAGCGTAGGTCCCGCGCATCCTTACTCGCCGGTTTCAATGAAAAAGATTACGTAATATTCAACCAATAAGAATTCGCCACAATTTGGAAACTAAACGTAAACCTTCGCCAATTCCACTCACATTGGCGTCTTCCTCGCTTTTTTTTTTCTTTCTTTTTTTTTTTTTNTTTTTTTTTTTTTTTTTTTTTTTTTTTTTTTTTTTTTTTTTTTTTTTTTTTTTTTTTTTTGAACTTGCCAAACTGTAACGTTGTCCTTGAATAACAGTAACTCTCTCTTTTTCTTTTTTTTTATGGAAACCAGAAATATATCATTTGAAATTTAGCATCATTGCTTTATCGTAATTCAAAACAAATCATTCGCATTTGCTTCATAAATTCGCATCTCTTTGAATTTAACTGAAATAATCATATTGAAAAATATTTAATTCCGTTGTTTTTTAATTAATTAATTATCTCGCTTAAAATAAATTTATTTAGTTGAAAATACAAGGGTATTTCAGATAAATTAAAATATTTCTACAGTAGAACTAAATCGAAAGTGCTACAGTGTGCTTAAATCGAACATTATTCTGGTTCATTTCAATGTAAGTAAGTGAATCAGAATTAAATACTTTTAAATATGGCATTATTTATCGCAGAAAATTAAAAAATTTTATACAAAATTGCATCACAAATTCTATTATTTTTAGTTTAGAAATGCGCTTAAATATTAAATTCCAGCATTTTTATAATATTTCATTAATTAACTATCTAATCTCGCTAAAAATGAATCTATGTACTTAGCTGAAAAGTCAATATTATTTCTTCGCGTCATAAAATAAACGTTTTAAAAATACTGGAAACGGAAAGGTGAATACATACTATATTAAACATACTAAGAAAAAAAAATTCTATTAAATATTTTAAAAAATTCGCTTCATTAGTTCTGCAAAATTTAAATGAATCATTCAAACTTGCTTCATCTATTTTTTTTTTAATTTTTATAAATTAATTAATTTATATAATTTTGTGGGATTGAGAGTTTTTTATTTATTTATTTATTTATTGCAGACATAAAAACGGCTGGCGTTCACTTGCAAAGATTAATAACCAGTTAGGAAGAAAAAATATTCACCTGCTTGAACTTGAAAGGAAAATTAAAAGCTACATTTTGGTTGCTCATAATATTAGTAGCTCCTCGAGGTATAAAGTTTTCACCAGGTATAGGCAAGTTTTTGGAGTTCATGGTTGTAGTCTTTTTCAATCTATGCTGAAACGCCAAATGCAAAAGAGATCAATTTGGGTAAAATGGTCATCAAATTAAAAGTTTAAAATTTATAACTTTAAAGAAAACTGAAAAGTTTGAAGAATCTGTCTTTTTTTCAATCTCCTGTCCTCCGATGAGAACTTGACAAGCACTGCCTACGAAGCTTCCCAAGCAGGGCACAAAAAGTTCTCTAAACACTACTCTGACTATATATTTTAGTATCATAGGTAAAATTGAACTGGTAATTACCCAGAGGTATTCACTACCGAAACGTTTATTAGCAAAATTCATAATTTTAAATAATTATAATAAATAAAGAAAACGAACCAACAAGTTGTAGTTAGACTTATTGCAATTCAAACAGTCAGACTTTTTTCACTACCGAAACGTTTATTAGCAAAATTCATAATTTTAAATAATTATAATAAATAAAAAAAAACGAATCAAGAAGTTGTTGTTAGACTTATTGCAATTCAAACAGTCAGACTTTTTTAACCCATTAGCGGCAATTGTCGCCCTGATTTTCTTAATTATTTAAAGCAATATAAATTAGCTTTATAATTTTACAGCATTAAGTTTTATTATTTATTCTAAACAATTTAAATAATTTAAAATTGTTATTAAAAGTGTAAATTATAATTCGATTTCATCAAGTAAATAAATGCTTTTGATTTTTAAAAATTCTTCCTTTGCAATAACTGAACAATAACAATGATTCCAGAGATTTTAAAGACTTTTTTTTCTTTAAAAATTTTGTATTCTAACTTCTCTCTTTCGCGATGAATGTTTTTTTAAATAGAAAAAGGTCGTCAATGGAAAATTCAGTTTACCAAAACCGTTTCAAACTCAAGATATACAGAGAAAAAAATTTATAAGGTACAGTTTTAAGATTTATAGTATACATAAAACAAGTTTCATTTTAAATTATCTATATTTTATCATCTGCTTAATATCAAGCTATGAATTCCTTCATCTTTTATTATTTTTTTAATAATAATAAAATTACTTTATTTTACATTTAACAGATTCTTTTTTACTTACTATCTAAATACACAGAAGAAATATATTTATACTAAACTCATTTTTTTATTATCTTGCGTATTTTGATTATTTATTTGTATAAGTGTCTCAAATAAGGATATATCTTATAACTTTCGTTAAAAAAAAAATTCACTTGGAAAAAAATACACTAAAAACAAATAAAAAATGTTTCTGGGAAATCAATGCCAAACGAGTTTTCAATTTTTTTGTGTATAGGATTTATCGTTATATCGCGTTTAATATGCATTTTAAGTATCTTTTTCAACAAAAAAAGTATACACATTAGGGGTTTCAAATTCGTCATTTAGAGCATAAATTAATTAGTTTCAAATTAAAATTTGGAACAGAAAAACAAAACCGTTATCGAAATCTAACGAATCACAACTGAGGTGGACAGAATCGTAAAACCCATTAAAAAAAAAAACAAAGGAGTTGAAAAACGATTATAAGAAAAAATTCCAACAATCATCACGCAATCAAACCGATTTCGAATTTTTTCATCCCACTTTCTTCACTAGTAATTCCACAGATTTGATAGCGTTTATGTTTTATTTCCCTCCCTCCTTCATTTACACGTTGATTTTAACCACCACAAATGTATAATTTTTTTAATTTCATTTTTGACAAAGACGTTTTGTATATTTTAAGGGTATTTATTACAAAACACTTTGCACGTGTACTTTTTTCGTTTCTGTTAGTGAGTTTACTTGAAATATGTCCTAGATATGAGATTCTGATTGAGGCTAATTTATTTTTTAGTGTAAGAATTTTTATTTTGTTTTGTCGTTTGAATTGTATGTTATAGATAACCATAATAAAAATAAACTAATATACTTGTCTACATAAGTGTTCTCGGAATTAAATTATGGTAGGAGATAAAATTTCACAAATAGAAAGATTTCAATAGATTCCTTTATATCCTCCTTTTATTTTATTTCCACCACCTGCAGTAAGTAACAAGAGCAAAAACGGTCTTTGAAAATATACGGATGTGACTAATAAATCAAATAATTCCATCTTACACAGATTTTGTTAAATTTAAACACCTGGCAGGCTAGATTTATTTCTTCCACTGAGTGCAACACAATTAAATAGAAATTAAAGCACTTAGAACAAATATTAGAACGTTCAGAAAAATCCCAGCATACTCGTATTAGGACTGTGCTTAGGGGTTGTGGTCTCAGAAAATCTGTTTAAATCACGATGGGTTCTTAGAAGTTGATTAAATTTTAAAATTGAAAAAATATTTAATATTTTAATAATTTTTCAAACTTAAATTAGCAATAGTTGTACAACTTAATTTAATTATTTTTGCATAACCCAATTTTATTAGCTGTGCAAAATAAGTAAAAAAAAATTTTTTTTTAATAAATTTTTGTGTTGTAAACCAGTGTACCAGTTTAAATGTACAACATAATTTTGTTAAAGTTGTACCACTTATTTTAATTACAATTGTACAAAATTTAATTATACCTACAATTATGTTTTTCAGTGTTACGTATTTAGAAGTAAGTATAATATTTTACATTTGAAATTGTGATTGGTTGCACTTTCTTTTTCATATACTGAGCGTGTTTTGGCCACACCTCATAGAAGAAAGAAGGTCTCAGCAAGGATTAATTTAGTAGTCCGAAGTAAACGAACATAAACTGCGCAGTGGTTGAAAAATAAGAAATATTACATTACGTTCTGGGGGCTACTTAGTTGTGCAGTGGTGGTGAATACGAAAGTACATTTTCACAACTAAAGGATCAAATTTCTTGTTTATGGTAACCCGTGCTGAGGCCTTCTCTTTTCTAGGAGGTATTGGTTTGGGTGACAAGAAGTTTGTAATGGCAGTTAATATGTTTTGCGCGACCTATGCCTGCTAAAACACAAGGCACGACCGTAAATGCAAATAAAATAAGTAATGTAATTCGAAGATTATGAATAGAAATAGTATCTAAACACAGCTGCTCAGATTTTGAAAAATCGATTTAACTCTGAACCATAAAAACTATTATTTGATGCCTAGCTATGACTTATATTAATGTATACACTTTTTTAATTTCTTAACTGACAGAGTTTCTAAAGGTAAACACAAGGGAGGTGATTATGGAACACCCTGTATAGTTGACTGTATCGATAATTTTTGAATAACTATAAAATATAATTTTTGCATTCGTGAAAATAAAAAGTTTTAATAGCGTAATTTTTTACGAAGAAGTAAGGTTGGAGACGTAGTTAAAAATTCTCATTTCAAAAAAATATTCTTACTAATAAAATTTATGAATACTAGTTCCCTTTTGAACCAATTAAAATAGTTAAAGCTGAAGAAGAGATTCTGGAACTGGCGTTCCAATTATATTTTCACAAGCGGGTATAAATTAAAAAAAATAATAATAATGAAACCGGCCACATACTGAGCAAAGTTTATAAAATATGTTTTAACAGCATAAGCTGAAGCATGGTATGATTTATGTAAATGAATAAAAAAATTGCATTTGTATTTTGTATTTCAAATCTAATTATTCAACTCAACATGATAAAAATACAAATAATGCTCCTTTTCGTTTTCACTTTAACGAAATCCGGCTTATTTTTTCAGCCTTATGCATAGATCAAAAAACAGATTCAAAACTAGACTAGAAGCTGCTCTTGACCAGAGAATTTTAAGACTGTTATTGATAAATTCAAGACGAATATTATTGTTATTACTATTACGAATATTATTGTTATTGTTAGACGAATATTATTGTTATTGTTATATTATTGCTATTATTGTTACTATTAATATTAATTAACTATTAGTAAAACGATGACAAAATTTCAGTCTTCACAAATTAATATTTTCATTACTAGTTTTTTTATGGTTAATACGTTCACA